AAATGTTAATAACATCATTCTCGGCATATATCGCTCGCCCTCAAATAAAAATGCAACTAAATTTGTTGATTCCCTTTATAATCACTTGGATATAGCAAGATCACAAAAAAACATTGTAATATTAGGAGATATAAATATCAACCTCATACCGAGAAGTAATGAACCTACATATGAGTGCAACAATAGGTCTTATTATCTAAACATGCTGGCTACACTTGGGATCTTACCCGGATGTACTCTTCCTACCAGACTTTATAACTGTCTTGATCATTGTATGTTAAAAATTGATAAAAGAAAATTTTCAGCTTTTATAGCCATACTTAACACCACAGTTACAGACCATAGTACTGTCTTTTTATGTCTATCAAACTTAAAACAAAATGAAAATCATTGCAATAAAATAAAATATAATATTGATAAAGCTGTAGAAAATTTAAAATATAAAAATCTAAATGATTTATTATACTGTGATGATCCTAATTTCGTTGCAAAACAATTGATAATGAAACTCAGTGAGTCCATGGAGGAAAGCAGATCAGTGAATAGTCTGTCCAATAATCGCAAAAAAGCTATTAAGCCATGGATTACTCCCGGTTTATTGCGCTGTATCAAAAATAGAAATAAAATGCAATTAAATCTTCGTAAAGACCCCAACAACGAAGTTTTGAAAATAACTTTTAAAAGGTATCGTAACTATTGCAACAATTTACTTAAAAAACTAAAACACAAATATGAACGAGAACAATGGGCTCGAAATACTAAAAACTCAAAATTGCTTTGGAATACTATAAAAAAATTACTTATTTAAAATCAAATAAAACGCACAATACTGAATTACTCAATGTTAAAGAAACCCCTATAAATTCAGTTAATCATGTCAATGATATCTTCGCTAGTGTGGGAAAAAACCTGGATAACTCTATTCCCTTTGTCAGCCCATCTTCTAATGCTAACAGCTACCTTAACAATTGTCAAAGTTCATCATTTGTCCTTTTGGAAGCTGACCACCAAGAAGTTGCTTGTGTACTTATGGATCTCAAATCGGAAAGTGCTCCCGGTTGGGACAACATCTCCACAAAGTTCCTCAAGCTGTCCAGAGATCTTGTGGTGCCTATCATTTGTCACCTGACAAATCTCTGCTTCAGGGAGGGAGTTTTTCCGTCACCTCTTAAACAATCAATTGTGACGCCGGTTTTTAAGGGTGGCAAGAAAGATGATATAAATAACTATCGGTCGATTTCTGTTTTACCGTCTATATCTAAAATTATCGAAAAGTTAACTAACACTCGACTCTTAAAATTTCTAAACAAATTCAATATACTATCTGATTCACAATTTGGGCTTAGACAAGGAAAGTCTACAGATTATGCTGTCTTAGCACTAACAACTCGAATCTCAGACTGCCTTGATAGTGGGAAAAAATTTATAACGGTCTTTCTCGATTTAAAAAAGGCCTTTGATACAGTCTCCTTGCCCATCCTTATAAAAAAAATTAGAACATTGTGGCGTGAGAGGTACACCACTTAATTTGTTAAGAGACTACCTGTTTGATCGAACCCAAAGAGTTAAAATTGATGACTATATAAGTGAGGAACTACCGATCTCCTTTGGCGTTCCACAAGGCAGCGTTTTAGGCCCGACTTTATTCCTTATTTACATAAATGAGCTTTGTAATATAAATATAGATAGTGGTTACGTGTTCTCATATGCTGATGACACTGCACTGTTTTTTATGGCGACTTCTTGGGATACAGAATTTAAACTTGCACAATCCGGGCTATCCAAGGTATTTAACTGGCTACAATCCAACTTACTTACATTAAATATAACCAAAACAAAATATATATGCTTCTCCAATAGTAAAAAAACACACCCAAACTTAGATCTAAAACTAAAAATACATACATGCTATAACCAAAATATGTATAACTGCAATTGTCCTGAAATAGAGAAAGTCAACAGCACCAGGTACTTAGGAATAATACTTGACCAACGATTATCTTGGCATCCTCACATAGATTTTATTAATAACAGAATCAGAAAGTTAATATGGATTTTTAAATCTTTAAGATATGTAACCACTAAAAAGCTTATCAATCAAATATACGTTGCATTAGTTCAGTCAGTCCTGGGATATTGTATCCACATATGGGGTGGAGCTACAAAACTAAATTTCTTGAAGTTGAGAGAGCGCAACGTTGTATACTAAAGGTTATGTATTCTAAGTCGTACAGTTTTGCCACAGCGGAACTCTATCAATACAGTGAATTATTATCAGTGAGAAAGTTGTATATATTGCAAACTGTTCTAAAACTCCACAGGTCTTTACCATTTAATTATAATAATCTAAATAAAAGAAGAAACAGGTTTATTTTAAAATTGCAGAAAACTAAAACAAAATCAGCTAAACGACACTACAAAATACAATCAGCTCACCTATATAATAAAATTAATAAAATCATTGAAATATACCCTTTAAAATTAAGAGATTGTAAAATAAATTATTTAATTGGTTGCAGCCACTAAGTTATACTGACACAGAAGATCTTCTCTCAGTGTGAATTAGTGGGTGTAAGATATGTATTTTACAGCCGCTGACTTTTACAACAGTTGTAATTATATTTATGTTATATTATCTCTTTCATATTACCTCTGTTCTTAAATATTATAAAACTTAATTTAAAACGTTTTCAGCTCTAGTTCTATATGGCAGGATTGAAAGATGACCTTATCACAAAAATTGATAGGGGCGTACTCCAATGGTTTGGGCACGTTGAACGAATGAGTGAAGACCGAATGGTAAAGAAAATATATAGAGCGAAAGTAAATATTAAAAGGTGTCGAGGTAGACCGAGACTAACTTTCGAAGACCATGTGAGCAAATTGCTCGAAGAGGGGAGGGTCAAGAGTACTCGGATACCTAGACGTGCATGTATGAAGAAGTTAATGAACCTGAAAGAAGCGAAAGAGGTATGTAAGGATCGTGACACTTGGCGATCTGTTCTCTCTGGCTACCCCGTTAGGGATTGTGCGTGAAGATAAGTAAGTAAGTAAGCTCTAGTTCCCTATCTTAAGAATTATGATTTATAACAATAGTTTTTTTTTTGTAAATTTAAATTCTAGATTTAAGGAAGCTCGAAACATCCAATGTATAGTATGTAAGCATCATGAAAGGGTGGAGCTGCCTGCCACAAGTATATATATATGCTTACTAGGCAGCTCCAACAATGAATATTGTATGGATATAAGTTTTTTGATGAAATAAATATATTTTGATTTTTTGATTGACTATAGACATGTGGTTCTGAGACAAATAATTTTAAAATTTATTGATGATAAATATTTGCAATCTTATAAAATCTATACCGATGGATCTAGAGATAATAATAATAATAATATTGGAACTGCATTTTTTGACACTCAGTTACACATATCACACCCTTATTGCTGGAAACGAGCCATCTACTTTTAAATTCGTATTTGAGGATAGATGGGCCACAGCAACCACTTACCATCTAGTGGACTGTGTGATCGTTTGTCACCCTATCCTATAAAAAAACCTATTGGGGAGGCAAATGTTCAGCAATGGTCTTTTCACAGGCTGCAATGAATGAATAATTGTTTTTTTTTAACCGCTATAACATAGCACTCTACTCTATTTTCATTTCAGAAACTAAATGATATTGATGTATTGCTACTTTTTGCCATATTTTAAGTTTTATGAACAGTAATCAAAATAAATCGTAAAATCATTTTAGTTGGTTTAATAGAAGTTTTTGAAAAATAAAGACAAGGGGATAGTTAAAACTTGTGGTTTTTATTCGGGTCAATAAAAAACACATATCAATGAAATTCAAAATTAATTTAAACGTTTCTATAATGTATGCTGAACTGATAGCAATTTCAGAAGCTGTATCGTACATTCTCTAAGAGTGCTCTGCAGCACTTGGCTCGTTGTACCTCGAATTTTCGAGGAACACCGATAGCCTACATTATTTTGAAGTGTATTGATAGTTTAACCAAAAAAATATAATTGTTGTGTTACAATGTATTCCCGCTCATATTGGCCTAGTAGATAATGAAGCGGCGGTATTTTACTGCATTGTTTACCTTATTTTTCAGATTTTCTATACAAGGTGAAAGAAAGATGTGTCAGTATGTGGAAGGAATTCTTTAATGAGAGATCTCTTACAAAAGCAATATGGTATAAAACTATTCAACCAAATATTTCCAATTCATCATGGGTAGATAGGGCCAATATGGGCAAGGCCGATATTGTTACAGCTCTAAGACTTCGATCGGGACACACACCAGTGAATAGCTTTGCTTTTTCGATAGGAAAGACCGAATCCCCTAACTGTGTAGAATTTGGTCAATTAGAAGATGTATTACATATTTTGGTGGAGTGTGTTCGAATCGAGGCTGAAAGAGCAAATTTTTGCAATCAATATAATATAATTAGATTAGATATCGGATTTTGTAACAGTATTCTGGCTTTGCCATTATCTGGGGGAGCCAGAATGCTGTACAAAATGGTCCAAGTTGGACTTAAAAGAAGATAAAGAAAATGTAAATATAATGGGGATGACATTATAATAATTTTATAAAACCCTCTTTAAAAAATAAACAATGCGAACCCGCGAAATCAATATCAACTAAATATTTCATCTTCTATTTAAGGTTTAAAATTTTGCATTATTCAGGATTCCTTAACGCATCGATCATCAAAAAAATATTATGATGTGTCAAACTCAAGTCATTGTCAAGTGCATAGACCTAGGATTACGCTTACGCTAAAGACGACCTATGCGTGGGAAAGAGACATTTGTATCCATAGGATACCCCGCAAGACAGAAAGAGATACACAACAAAGTACCGATGTGTCAAGATTTTTTCGAGTAAGAGGCCATTGCGGCCCGCTTGCTGTGACGTGGTGATAATTTTTGTAAAAAATATTCAATTTCTAGCAAAAAAATTACAAAATAGTGTTTTGTATCATCATGGTATCATGTGCAGTGAGCAATTGTGACGTGACAAGAAGAAATAACCCAAATAACTACACATTTCACAGGTAAATACGACTTCTGTCATTGGAATTTTATGAAGCTCATTTACATAATTTTTGTTACAAATATGTTTAAAACAATAGTTTTAACAATAGTATATTGAATTACGTTGTTGCCTGTGGGTATATTTCATAATTGCAAGCGGAATTCAAGAATTTTTTAGGAATTTATAAAATTTTGTGGTTACGCTAGGGCTTGACAAAATGCTGACGACATGATTATCCGATAAAAGTCTTATAAGGTGGGGTCTTAAACTGAATCAAAGAAAACATATTTTTAAGTCAATACTGTGTAATAATATGGAACTATAGATGCAAAATCCGTTATTAATTATTTTAACCGAGTGATTAAAAAAATGCATCATTATTAACGGTTAACTGCGTTTTATGCTTATTATGTTGAAATATGTGGCTAGCTATTTAGAATATGTTGTATTGTGTTGCATTGCCTCTGAGTAGTATTACGATTTTGACTTATGATTTTGTCCTTTTCAAGATTACCTTCTCGACCTGCACTACGTGACAAATGGATACGCATTATAAATAGGCCTAATTGGACTCCGAGCAAAAATTCAACTGTTTGCAGTGAACATTTCGATGAAAAATGTTTTATACAAAGAACCCGTCAACGTGTATTATTGAAAGATTCAGTACCCACTCTGTTTGTTACTGTAAGTGTTGTATTTTATTTTTTCTAATTGAATATACAAAAATATAGCTTCTAATGGGTATAATTTCTTGCAGATTAAACTGAAACAAAGAAGATCAGTTTCTTCATACGTCAATAGAGATATTACCCTTCCAAGAGAAGAACTGACCCAACTTCACCTACACCTGGGCCTTCCTCAAGTCAAGTACTTACACCGAGAGAAAAAAAACTCATTGATAAGAATATGCGATTAAAACGAAAAATTTCAGAAAAAAATAGGTTGTTAAGGAATTTGAAAGCCAAAACTAAACGGATGAAAAAAAGAATTTTAAATTTACGAGAAGTTGTCAAAAATCTTAATAATAGACCGAGCCTTGAAAATCACCGAAATGAGGTTCAAGCCGCGTGCCACAATAATTTACTGCAGAAGTTAGTAGATAGAGTAAACGGCAGAGCTACGGGAAAAATCAGTCACACAGCTGAATACGACGATGAGCTAAAGAAATTGGCCTTGACGGTTCACTTCTACAGTCCCAGGTCTTATATATATATATATATATATATATATATATATATATATATATATATATATATATATATATATATATATATATATATTTTTTTTTTTTTTTATATATTAGAGATAAATTTGACTTAGGTTTACCACATGTAAACACTCTTCGAAAATGGTATTCACGATTAAATTGCGAGCCTGGGTTCACAAAAGAATCTCTAGACACGATATTTGAATTAACCAAACATGGACCTGTATTCGTAGCTTTTACTTTTGACGAGATAAAAATAAGGGAAGAGCCAGAAATATTAGGCAAAAAACATGATGGTTATGTTAACGTGGGGAATGATTTAAGTGGTGATGAAATTGATGTTGCAAAAGAAATACTGGTGTTTATGGTAGTAGCCATAAATGGGTATTGGAAATTACCTGTGGGTTTTTTTCCTGCAAAAAACTTCACAGCTGCAGAAAAATCTAGACTTTTAAAAATTTGCTTAGATTTATTGAAAGACACAAACTGTCATGTAGTAGCAATTACTTTCGATGGAATTGCGTCAAACTTGAACATGGTGCAAATACTTGGTGCGAGTATTCTAACACCACCTTATAAACCATATTTTTATTATAATAACAATAAATACATGATTTTGTTTGATCCGTGTCATCTGATCAAGCTGATCAGGAATTGTTTCGGTGATCATAAAGTCTTTTGTGACAACATTGGGCGCAGAATTGAATTCAGATTTTTAGAACAGTTGCAGGAATTGCAGAAAAACGAAGGTCTACATCTTGCCAATAAATTATCAGCAAGACACATAAATTATAAAAATCAAAAAATGAAAGTTCGACTAGCTGCACAGTTATTAAGTAGATCAGTAGGAATAGCAATTGATGTTTGTGAAAAAGATCTCTTAATTCCTGAATTTCAGGACACTGATGGAACAGTGCAATTTCTGCAATGTGTTAATGACATATTTCATTCTAGAAATTTAAACAATATTGGTTTAAAAAAGCCTTTGTCCAAACAATAAAACGGACTAAAATATTTAATAAACTTGACGAAGTATATGAGTACTTTCAAACACTTACACGTCCGGATGGGAAATTTCTCATAAATACTCAGAGACGGCTAGGGTTTTTAGGCTTTATAAATAATATTATTGCGCTGAAATGGATTTATGTAAATTTTGTTGAAAAACAAGATGGTTTGAAATTTTTACCTACTTATAAAATGTCGCAAGACCATTTGGAGACTTTTTTCAGCGCTATCCGATCAAAAGGAGGCTTTAACAATAATCCCACAGTTAAAAACTTTATAGCAGCATACAAAAGGTTATTATGTCACACTGAAATAAAATTAAATGAAAGTGGCAATTGTTTGCCACTAGAAAAAATTGCAGTATTATCTACCAGCTCCATGTCAACAATTGATAGAATTAATAATTCATCAAATTATAATACAATTTTCAACGAGCTGTTGCAGGAAGGCAAGGACGAAGATATGGTGCTTTTGGATAATACTGCTTCTTTATCTCAGATATCGATGATGATAGTTTCATATATAATAATATAATAATATATTTTTAATTCAGACCATAGTCCATATAAAAATGTGTTAGTAAACAATTAACTTATATAACTATGTTAATACAAAATGTGTTAGTGACTATTACTTATGCTATGTTAGTCCTTAATCTACCTTAACCTATTCAGCACCAGCGTGGGCGCTGAGGCCTAGTGCCGGTGTGCACATCATTCCAGCTCCTCCAGAGAGGGCTGTCTAGCTTAGAGGCCAACGCGCTGAGGAGGGTGTTAGTGCTTCTCACAAGCCTGCTCATCATGGACGCGGCACGCTTTCGCACAATCGCGTAGAAGTCATCCACACGACTGTCCGCAAACATTGCCGACGCACTGCAGTTTCGCGGCTTCCTCAACACCGCCCTCAGCACATTGTTGTATTGCACTCTCAGGGCACCGTAGGTCCGCTGCGAATAGCCCGTCCACAGACTGAACGTGTAGAATGATTGGCAGTAAGCTTTAAACAACGTTATCTTAACCTGCTTTGTACACCGTGCAAATCTGCGGGCCAACATGTTGCCTCTCACCGCCATGGTAATGTTATAAGGCGACTGAGTAAAAAAATTAGGTGTGATATATGTGTTCAAAGTTTGACGTCAAGTTCTTCGGAAATGTTTCACAATGCATTAATTGTAAAGAGAGATTATTCCAAAACTGACGATGGTTATCTGACATACCCATCAAATGATGTGGTCACGTTGTGTTGCAGTGCTGAAAGCCATTTTAGACATAATATGAATAATAAAATAATGAATGAATTATTTTGTGCCAAAAATGTATTACATGTTCTGCGCAATAATCAACACCTCTTTGATTCTTTGAAGAAACATGTTTTAGATCAGGCCCCGTTGGACGATCACAGATATCTCCTTATGAAAGGTATTATTGAAAAATACTTTGACCTACGATTAAAGCATGAAATCAAATCGATAAAGTTCGATAAAGAATCCTTACGGACCCATTTTAATAAAGCTGTTATATACAGGGGCCAATGAATTTTAGTGTATGGCATCTAAAATAAGTATTAAAAGGATGAACCTGCAATATTTTTACTTCTTAATTTATATTTTTGATTTGTTATTTTTTAATAAAATTTTGTTATGCAATCCGGACTTTCACTATGGCAAATTTCTGACGGTGTGCGACGCTTCGTACAAAATATATGGAGACGGAGGGCTTCCCGTCCAGCGAGCGTTAGTTTCTTACATACACGGTAGGGTTTTCTTGCATATAAATTATCTAAGGTTCTCTAGGATCGCGGTCATTAGACCCGTCGGCACCTGGCTCCTAGACTTTATCGATACTATGATTTCGTAATGTTGACATCACTATGACACTCACACATGCGTATTTTTATTTTTGTATCGCCTTCAGCACGTCTTTGTTTATCTTTTACATTCTAAATCTATGGTCAAGTGTGAGCTGTAATGTCACAGTTATCACTGCTTTCGCTTTGTTATTCTGTGGTATCGTTGTCGGTTGTCGCCTAATAACTATTCTACATAAATTGATATTAAAATTAATTGTATTTTGTCTTGCTGTCTATACCCACACAATTTGAAACAGTTGCTTGGCTCGAGATAACGAGTTTATTGTTTGCATGAAGTTTATGAAAATAAATCACTGGGCGATCGTGAGTATAGACAATTTTCTCTGCATTGTGCATTTTATAAACGGCTGAGTATGGAGTGTAGAAGTAAGGAGTACCAAATCCCATAGTAGAATAGTTGAAAAAGTGACCATCTGCAAGCAGTAAATAACAGTTCAAAAATTCTCAACAACAGCGCTGGAGTAGCTACTGGGATGAAATGAACTTAGAAGTTGTCGACGGTTTGAAGTGTGCTGCTAAACTGTTCCGTAGCTCTAAAATCTAAAATAATTTTATTTGGTAAATATAACTTCGAAAAAGTCGTCTATCCCACTAATACTTTTCGGCACGTTCTTTAAAATTTACCCGTAGCTATAGTGACGCCACCCTTATTTAACGGTTTTCTATGGACACTTTTTAATACACAGTCTGTACTCCTTACTTATACACTCCATACGGCTGAGGATACTTACTACTTGGGCTGCCTGATTAAAAATTGGAACAAAGGTGACGTCTATTATTTTGTTTTTGATTAAAACTACTTTTACGGATTTTATCGCGTTTATTTTACTTTTAATTACTTTTATTTTTAATTCACGACATTTCGGGCGCTTTTCAGCACCCATGGTCACGGGGGACTGATATGACTGACGTCCCGATGTCATATGTCATTGGAAACATAAACATAAACCCGGAGTACCTTCAGCTTTTTTAATTATTGTTTATTGTCCGATCTATGCAAAATGAACTATGTCCTGAGGTCTTGCTGTGGTATGCTTGGGTTTAGTTTTAATTTTATTGATTATAGGATCCCAAGCATGTGGTAGTACCCAGCCTCCTTCTCTATTGAAAATAGGATGTTTTTTTAATTTCAATAGCCTCACGTATCATCCTTGGTAGGAATCGGTGTTCTTTCGCAAGGATTTGTGGTCTATCAAATCTGATGTAATGGTTGGGGCCGTCTAAGATATGATCGCAAACTACAGACTTCCCGGAACGTTGATGCTTCACATCAGCTACATGTTCTTTTACGCGGGTTCTAATTGATCTTTTTGTTTGTCCTATATAAGTGAGACCACATTCACAATCAAGCTTGTACACTCTTGCATCTTGTAGAGGAATATGACACTTGACGGATGGTAGGAACTGACTAATCTTCTTCGGCGGCTTGAAGAATGTTGTAATAGAAGCTCGCTTCAAGATGTAGCCAATCTTGTCTGTGGCGCGGGACCCGAAGCTTGTTGTCGTCCAGAACTTGCTTGACGTACTGAAGCTCGGCGGCCAGGTGTTTGCTGTCACAGATCCCTATTGCTCTCTGTAACAAAGATTTGCCCATGGTAGCTAACCATGAAGGATGGTGGTGAGATTCACCGTTTAAATATCTGTTTGTATGGGTCTTTTTCCTATACACAGTGTGATCAATGATGTTGTTAGGATTTCGGATGACTAACACATCTAGGAAAGGTAATGAATTATTTACCTTTAGCTCCATAGTAAATTGAATTTTAGAGTTTATGGAATTAAGATGTTCTAAAAATGCAGTTACTTTGTCTGATGGTAAAATTGTGAAAGTA